GAACAAAACTCAAGTCTATAACTTATACATGAATGCATATGTAATGTATGTGAAGGAACATGCCAACTATTTTATTTACAAACCTAACATCTTTAATCAAACAAAAATATTAGTACAAAAATCAAAAGTTACAAAATAGAAAAAAGGGTTAGTGCACATAAATAATCACATAATAAAAACCATCCAAATAAGATTTAGGATAATACATAACTAACAAATGGTTTGACTTTCTAATGTCCCAAGCGAAGTCACCTTTGAGAACTAGTCCATTAGACACAAAAATTATGGAATGCTACCAAATTTTTTATATAGATGTGATTGGCCACCTATGTGAATCTATCATTTTTAAGATTATCTTAAGTTTGATTAAGGGTCCCTAAAAGGAATAGATTTTGGTTTATATAAATAGAACTAGGTTTGAGAATTGGTTATGTATAAGGAAGGTTTTGGCACCCCTTCAGCACTCGAAATTGATACCAAATTAATCACATTTTATTTTATCTAAGCCTTAATTAAAATGGTCTTTATTACTTATTTTTATTAATTTCAATATTTAAATATTGGAAAAAAGTCTTTAGGCTTTCATCAAAAAAAGAAAAATTTCTTATTTTAAAAGTATTTAAGATAAACTCGTTGTTTACTTAAAGAGACTTTATCGCTGGATTTATTAAATATCTTATGACAAAGAAACTAATTTAGTTACATCATTTTATTTACAAAATTAATTACAAATAATGATACCAACATATTTACAACTTTCTAATCATAAAATAATATATTTACACTTTTCTAAAAATATAATTTAATTTTTATTTACTTTAATTAAATAAATTAATAAGCAAAAAAAAAAAAACCTAAACAAATGATAAATACACAAATAAACAAATAAGTAAAAAAATAGCAAAACAAAATAATTTGATAAACAAAATTATCACAAATATTACCCCAAAACTATATTAAACAACAAATAAATATAACACCATAAAAGAAATTTTACCTAATCAATGCTCTTGGATCAACCCGAAATAAAGCCTATTGCCAAGAAAAGTTTTGCTTGACTTTGTTTGTTTTAATATTATGTATATGGCTCTCTCTTTTTTCGCTTTATGATTCTTCTTGATTGTTATTGTTTGTTTAATTGCTTGTTATCTTATTGAATTACCAATTGTTCTTGTGATGTGTCTCTCCAATTGCTTATTGATTTTCCTTATCTCTTTACCCACGAAATTCTTCCTTAAACCTTAAAACTCAAAGCTTTGTGTTTGCATTATTTGTTGATTGTGTTGCCTTTTCATTCTGAGTTTTGAATTGAGCGTTTTATATAGGGATTGAATATTTTTTTTAATTTGAAAAATTTTAATGTCATCTGAATCTATCAAGATTCTCTCAAAATTTATTTTCTTGCTTGTAGAAACTTAATTTCCAAAAATTATCAAAATCAAACTCAATCTTTGAATTTCAAATCTAAATAAAATCATAATTTTTTTAAAAAAACAAAAATTTATGTTTTTTAAACATAAATAAAAATAAAAATACTTTTGAGTCTTTAAATTTAAGTTTAAAAAATTATTTTTAAAACTCAATATCAAAATACAATTCAAGATCTAATAATATCAAAAAGATTACGAACAAAATTAAATGTTTACTACGTTTTGAATTTTCGTGGAAGCAGCAGGGTGCTCAATAAGTGCTAGTATTTCTGAAGAGGCCTTATCTTATAATTAAACCGTAAGGAAGAGATTTTGAATTCTGTAGTCTAACGTGCTGAACTCATCAACTGATGAAACATAATTTGTAGATTTGTCATCCCTAATTAAGCTGAACCTGCTGAAACCATGTGTGATGTCTGATATTAATTTGACTGATTGATGCGAAAAGCTAGTCGAAATATGTTCGTTGAGCCCCAATCTATCTGCTATATAGATGGTTTGGCACATGCCTTGCCTACAAATTCAAGTCCTTCAGATCCAGAAAGCCCTCTCAAGATATATTACTCTTGCAAATAGCCTTTATTTTATACTAATATTAATTACTCTATGATCAAGTAATAGCTGGCAATCAAGAAATTATATGATCAGTAACAAGAAAACACCAATAGGAAAATCTCCAGCCTTTAACATGCAATGGCCCACTGCTTCCAGCTGCTAGGGCTTATGCCTCCCATTGAGTTAGTTGCTCTTAAGAAATCATAGATTATTCAAGTACCATTATGATTTAGTTGTTCCTAAGCCATTTTATTTTACTCTTTAAAAGAGAAAAAAAAATGGACCACTTGAAAAGTGAAGTAAAAAAAAATCCATCGTGTATTTTAAAACATGTACCCTGTTTCTCCCATTGAGGAAGGCATTGAGAACACACTGCTGCAGATTTGGGATCCAAAAGAGAAATCCCAATTAATTTAATTTAAATAGGATTCTAAAACATTACTTAAAAACATAATAAAGAACTTAGCTTAATTTAACAAGACATATGTGCTAGGGAATATCATTCTATAAATAAGAAAGTTTGTCTTTTTCCTACCGTGTACTTGAAAATCTTGAATATATGCTTTTTCAAATGCATGAGGGAATGGTTTCAAGTGAGGAAGGGGAATGGTGCCAGCCTTTCAAATGGGGATGCCAAAAGTTGTGCAACTTTTTGAGTTCCGGCTCAAGTTTGTAGGGTATTTTACTATAGAGAGAGAGAGAGAGAGTGAGTGAAAAGAGAGGAGAAAGATGCCTTTAATTTTGTTGCCAGTTTGCCACAATGGTTTCAGCCTTTCACATAGTCCTGCCCTCATGCAGGCGGAGAGGGAGAGTGAGTAGTAAGAGGGAAGAGCCATCATTATATGGAACAATGGCTTGCTATGCTACTCACTGGGCATGGGCCACCATGATGCCAAAAGAAGTGTCACATGTCACAACTCACCCCATCTCTTCTTTCTAAACACCTTGTCCTTTAAATCTCCCAAAATCCCATGGCTAATCATTTGAATTTTATTCTGAAAAAAAAGGAACTAAAAGAAGATTTTACAGTGTTTTAAAGGGTTCCCTTTATAAAAGCTTCCCCAAAATCCTATGCTTATTTCATTATTACTATATATTGTCATTGATAATATGTAATCGTATGTTTCTACTGAGTTTCAGCAAGAAAAAGATTCAAAAAAATTTGAACCCCTCTCCCCAATCCCCTCTCATCATTCAAATTTTAAACCAGAGGTGAAAGTTCCTATTATTGAAGTGAAAAAGATCATGATCTATCAATCAATATTGACATGAATAAGATTACCCATTTTTTAGATATATCATGCAAAAAGACTACTACCCACTTCATGACACTGATAAACAGTTATCCAAAGAGTTGCTTTTGTTTTTCCTTGAAAATTGTTTTTGCAAAATTTGAAAGTTGGGGATGAAACTTTTTGTGGTTTGCATATGTCAAACATATTTATAACCCTTGGCGGGAAACCATGTCTGCTATCATGCTAGTCTTTGACAAAAAGGGCCTTATCTAGGGTTCCTTTCACTTTTCGGCTTTCTCGTCTTTTTTGTCTTCTTTCATAATTGATTTTTTCTTCATTAACTTTTTTTAACTTAATAAAAGGTTTCATCTTATTTCTTTATTTTTTAAAAATGTCATCATAAAATAATTATATGTACATAATTTGTGTATGTTTTTTACGTGTAGATTGTGCTAGCTAGTAGCCTAATTAATTACCATTTTTTTAATGGAGATTCATATATAGAGTTACAAATGTCTCAAATAAGGATATTAGGTTATTTATAAGATGCTTGGAAGAAAAAAAAATAGTGACACTATGTTCTTCAATGTGCAATTAAAGTACATAATGCATGCTTTTATATGTGCAAGAAATAAATGAGTAAATGCTAATTTAGGGATTCATGTTAATATCCCAAATCAAATAATTAATTTTCAAAAGCTATTAAAGATGAGCATGTTTCCACGCATCCTTTGGCAAATTCCTAAAAAAAAAAGGTGTGGAATTAAGGTCACCTGCCGGCCTAGCTGCAAAACCCCTTTTGCCGATATAAATGTGCTAGCTTGGAGTCAAATTAGAGAAACTTAAAAGTAAAAAATTAGTGAGAAAAAAATTAATTATGCAATGTATATATTTTTTAAATAATATTAGCTTTTTTTTTTTTTTTTTAAAAGCACAGCCCACTCACTTGGGCATGATTCACGAGAGTAAAGACTGATTTTGCAGGGTGAGAATAAGCATGTCCAACGTGTTACTTGTTCTGTTCCAACAAATTACCATTACCCTACCATTTGAAAAGAATAATTAATTCCTGCAATGCAATTTATCTTATAAAGTAAATTTAATTTGAAGTTTCGAAAAAAACTTTTTTTTGCATGAGATGCCGAAAAAAGAAATCGTTTTAGCAATGACTCAAAGAGATAAATATATATGTATTTTTTTAAAAAAAATTTCATATGATTTTGAAATCTCTAACCGAATGACTAGCTAGATCCTAGGATATATGACAAAACTTATCTATGAAAAGTGGGGTTCCTTCAAAAGATAAATGAAAAAAAAATGGAAAAGAAGGAACATGGTGAAGATGTACCTAGTTTCTACATTTTACGACCCACATTGTCCTGTCGTAACAGTTATGTCCCATCCTAATCCCAGAAACAAAAAAAAAAAAAAAAAAAATTCCCTTGGACATCATCACATGCACATTCACTTGGGAATTCCATTAGTTTGGAACTTAATTTTCATTTCTTGTCTAACCCTGAATACATCATTAAACTATTCATAGGATTAACGTGTTTCAAAGCATCCAAAACACCAAACGCACATTTTGCTTTCCAAAAACCAAAGCCTGATGAATTCAGCTTAGCTCAAATAGCAAGGGCTGAAGAAGTAGAGATTTTAGATTCAGATTTAAAATAAATTCTTCTCCTTTTGCCAATAGCCTAAGACAAAAGGGAAGAGAGAAAATCATGATTGTACCTCAAATACCAATCAAAAAGGTTGTTTTGTCTAAAAGTTATCCAAGATTTTACGTGCCAAATGAGCCAAAGCCTAAGATATGAACTTATATATAATTGGAATTGCTAAGGTTTTCTAAACTGTTATACAAAATTAAGTATTATTTTTTTAATTTGGGTATCTATTATATGGACTTATAAATAATGTGCATGTATCCATCTACATTATATAAGAGTAAAAAATAATAGATCATAAAATTATTAAAAAAAAAACTCAATCATAAAATTCATAATACCACACGAAAAAAATTATTGCAATCGACACTGAAATGCAGCCGAAGTCTGTTTAAAAAATAAGATTACGGCGGCTTACGATTCCCCAAATCTCGCCACCAATCACTCCTAGGCATCATACAAAAATTTTAAAATAATAAAATTAAAAAACAATTTTCTTCTTCTCTCTTTTTTTTTTAGGTAATCAACGATGCAAAGAAACCGGACAAACCCCAGGCCAGTTGCAATTTCTTACAGGAAATTATTAGGTTTTTTTTCCTCTTTGTTGCAAATTCTTGTTTGAGACAGCCGAAAAAGCTGTATAGGACGAGAAAAGAACACAAATTTTCAGGGTTTCCGCTATCTGATTTTACATTCACAATCTGATCCTTACAATAGTCAAAACCCAGATTAAAAAATTAGAAAAAAAAACAAAAGCAAAAAAACAAAAATGAAATTTCTACAAAGAAAAGAGAAGAACACTCAATATTTAACAACTACTACCATTTTTTTTTTGTACTATTGAGACGGCTGCGTTGAAAAAGGCCATGGTCGTGTATGTATGATGATGAACGCTACAATACTACGAGAAAATGTGATATCGAGAGGCTACTATTATTTACATATAATTATATTAAAAGGAGTGGGGTAAAAAAAAAAAAACAGAAAAGTCAAAAAGAAAAAAAACCAGTGTTTTTAATTATATTGAAATTTGTGGTTAATACGGGAGGGAAGAAGAAAGATTTCATCTCTTTCATGCATCATGGTGATATACTGACCATCATTTCCTTGATATTCCTTGTTGAGATTTTCTCATATTTGAAACCCTTTTTTTTTCTTGTTTTTCTTTTATAATATTTAGATACTCCTAATCTGAGGAACATATCCATGATTCCACCATACCTTCGCTTCTAGCAGCCACAATTTGTTGCCCTTTATTGCCATGAAAATCCGATGAAGAAGCCGAGAAGTTGTTTACTTTCCCATTTGAGACCCTCTGGGAGTTACTGTTGTAGCTGCCATTGATGGACCTTAGGAGAATTTGATCATGTTCTTGAGATCCTGTTCCTTCTCCCCACTTTTGAGGATTAGCACTATTTTCATCATTTCTTGGCAACGCCCCATCTGACGATACCATGTTTTGGAGCCCGCTGAGGTTGGCATTGACACGGCCCTGGCTCAAACCAAACTCTTCTAAAACACCCATTTTGAGAGGAGAGTCATTTGATGGAATATCTAAGGACCCTTGTGGCTTTGTTCCGAGAACGGTTGAATCAGGAAGTGGGTATTTTGGAGGCGCTTGAAGTAGAGATTGGAAGTTAAGAATTGGGTTTTGCATGTTTACGTTGAGGAGATTTTGAGGCTGCTTTAAAGGACCTATCTCTGATGGTAGTTGGTAGTTAATGGAAGTTGAACTAGAAGTAGTATTGTTGTTACTAGCAGAAGCGGAAGTGATGTTAGTGCTACTAGGATCAGTAGAAGCTATAGCATCAATAACTGAGGAGCTGGGAAATGAGGAAGCTGTAGAAGAAGAAACAAATGGGGGAGGTTGGAATTTTTGGACAAATGGTCTCAAAAGATAATGCGGAGATGAAGGGTCTAAATGGCTCGATCTCATGGTGGAAGGTGTACCAAATAAATCAAGCCTGGTTCTTTGGAAAGGTGAGGATGTAAAGGGTGGTGCAGGGATCCCGGTGAATTCCTGTACCATGGCTCGGAAATTGGTGGTGTCTGTTGTCAAAACGGTTGTTGGTGCACGCCTTGAAGCTCTGGATCTCTTCTTTGGGTTACGCACCATATTGTTGCTGTTGGGTTGGTCACTTGTGGCTGAAACTGAACCTTTTGTAGCGGTTTGTGGTCCTTGAGGGATCTGCATAGAATGAAAAGTGGCTCTGCTTTGTGCTTGTTGGTTGATCAACAACTGTGATGAGGCTATAAACCCACCAAGATCAGTGCAATTGGGCTCAGATCTTAGATGTTTGGACCAAACCGCATCGAGATTGAGGAGTGAATTGGGGTTTGTTGTAAGTTGCGGTGACCTTGATAAAGGATGATCGAAGTAGTTTGATAAAGGGTCAAACATAACCGATGAAGAGTGGCTCTGGTGTTGCTGTTGCGGCGGCGGTGGTTGGTTACCCAAGTGACCATGACCAACATGGCTCGATGGGTTATTGTTCAAAAAAGCTAAGAATGAGTCAGCACGTGAATCATACTCATCACTGCCACCACTCGAAGATTGCATACTACCACTGTTACCAGAATCCATGAGAAAGAAGGAAAAAAAAGATGGACCAGAGATAGCAAAAATAAGGGAAATACGTAAAAGGAAGGCAGAGATATGGGGTGTTTCAGAGAAAAGATTTTTTGCTTACTTCACAACTACTCAGACTCATTTAAGAAGGAAGCTACAAAACAAAGCATGAGGACATATAAAAAAAACAGAAGAAAAAAAAAGAAGGAAATGAAAGAAGAAAGAGGAAGATCTTCTGGAAGAAGAGCTATCAGAAAGTATCCATGTTGTCTTTAAAGCTCTGATCTGCAAAGAAGACAGTGGCTCGCTTGCTTTTACTTTGTCTGAACAAAAGGGTATGTATGTAATAAAGAAAGGAATTAAGCTCAGGGATCATCAATCAAACTAAATGGTTGCATAAGAGAGCTAAAATGAAATTAAAAACTTTGTCCTAAGACAGGACTTTCTTAATTAATTTTTTTGCTCTTTCTTTTTTGGTTTTTAGCCTAGTAAGGGCAAGGAGAACTACGGTTTTTTTTTTTTTTTTTTGGGGGGGGGGGTGTTAAAATCTATTTTCTGATTAACAGAAGTTTGGTTCTCTAAGCCTTTTCTTCTCAAAAACAGGGACTACTTCTTCTGATTGTGGTTTCACTCAAAAAGGTAAGGGGGTGAGGGTGGGACACCCATGTGTGCGAGAGAGAAAGGCTGTGATTATAGGCAATTGGTCAAAGTATAAATAGAGTGGTGGTTTTGATCCTTATGGTGTGAAGAGAAAGAAAAGATAAAGAGTACAACTAAGAAAAAAACTCTTTAAAAAATATGTGCTATATAACATTTCATATTTTAATATATAACAAATTAATATTCTTCAAAATTTAATTGACGGTATTAATGTTTTTAATTTTAAAAGTTTCATTCAATAAATTTAAATTTTAAAATATTTTATTTTATTTTTTAATTATAATTTTTTTGTAAAAAAATTAAATTTTCTTTTGTTTGGGAATAATGAGGTGAGTACGCAAACAAATTTGGGAAGATGGTTATTGAATGATATTAAAAACAAACATCGCTACCATTGCTTTTCAAAACCTATAAAAAAATTTTAAAATATATATAGAAGCAGTAACTAAATGGCACAAATAAAGAAAAGGAAATTTGAGTTGTATTACTAACATTGATTAATTTAAAATTTTCTTATGTTTAAATGGTTAGGTAACTTGGGTATAATGATAGGAAAAAAAGCAAGTACACTGTTTTTATCCATTTCTTTGCAGATTATTTGGTATATATAACAAACTAATAGATAAACATAGAAAATATTAAAAAATTCGTAGCCACAGCTTTTAACCAGGTAGTGATTAAATATATAAAAAAAAAGGAAAATAAATTATAATCTGTGGTTATATAATTGCTCCAAAGGAACCCCAGCGAATCTTTCCTCTTTGAAATGTATATGTATTTTCATGTTTTTTTTTTAAATTTAAAATAGATAAATTATTTAATTTTTAAATTAAAATAAAATATATCATATCTAATAATTTAAAATAAATAATTATAAATTATACATTCGAAATTATTTTAATAAATTTAAATTTAAAATTTTTTTATTAAAAAAATAAATCTTAATCAATTGAATCAAATACTTATTAATATATTTTCATGTTATATCTTTTACTTTACATGACATATATTTTATTTCATAACTTTTCTTTTTTGGGTAGTATAGTCAGGGCATTTTCCAATATTATTTAGGCTTAACTTTTTCGGATGATTTCAGAAGTCTATTTTTTTTTATCGATCTTCATTTAAGAGTTTATTCTAAAATATTCTTTATAAAAATTAAACTCCAATTAATAGAAAAAGAACTTTTCTCTTTATCCATTAGGCTAATTTTCTTGGGGATTTCACAACCTTTTTTTTTTTTTTTATCTTTTTTATCTTCTCCCTCTTTTGTTATTTTTATAATAATCGATAAAATTCTTCTCTTTGAAAAAAAAGAAGGAAAGAAAATAAGAAAGATCCATTGTTAATTTGGATGGATAGATCAGTTCAACAACACCTTAAGTTCGCTGCAACCATAAAAAAAAGCTAGCTAGCTCAACAATATTATTAGCTTTTAACCTATTTATCATACATTTTGGAATATTATAAATATATAATAATAATTAATATTTATTTAATTTAAAAATTATATAATTTGATAACACAACTTGGGTCGTAGAATTGGAGGTCTTTGTCAATGTTCTTCGTGTAATTATTTTCATTCTCACTCTCTCTCTCTCTCTCTCTCTCTCTCTTTTAACCACCTATGGCCTGTATTTGCCCCTGCAAAGCCAAATCCTAAACTCTAAAAATCCGAATCCTCATGTAATCCATGTTTACACGTAATGTCCTTGCTGTCCATTGCCATGGGGTAAAACTACATAAAATTTCATGTATTTCTAGGGTTTTGGCACTTTGCGCCGATATAGTACTATCTTTTTTTAAATACAACGAATTAATTAAATACCTAAGCAATAAACCATTATTATATGTCGAAACCCATAATATATTGCATTGCTTTTTTTGTTTGGCAAAATAATATATTGCAATGTTACTTCAATAATGTAATGATCTAAAATAAAATATTTAATATTAGATTGAAAAATTTTATCTTTAAGTGAAATTCATAAAATTTTTTATTAAAAATGATTCAATAAAAATTAAAATTAAAAATCAAAATTAATGAATTGATAGAGTTAATAAAAAGATTAATAATATATCAAAAATTTATTAAAATTATAATTTATAATTTAAATTCGATGAATATTTATTTAACGACAAAAATTTTGTTAATATTTTTATTAAAAATATATATCTAAAAAATATATCAAATGTTACTATTTTTTTTCAAGATTTATACACCTAATTTATGTAATAAACCTTTCAATTTATTGATTTTAATTTTTAATTTTAGTTTTTATTAAATCATTTTTCATTTTTAATAAGAAACTTCAGAAATTGTACCTAAATCTTTTTCATATCAAATTTATTTATTGTTCTATTTAGTAAATTAGTAGAATTGTACTTAATTTTCTTTTTATGAAGTAATAATAGTATTTAAAAAAATTATTATTTACTAATTTTTGATAAACATATTTTTACTATTTATATGCTTGTGAACTTCGATAACTTACATATAAAAATATATATGTATCTATAGTAGGATAAATTACTATGATTAATGTAGCTTTAACGTTACAATTCTTCATTCATTAATGTAAGCATCATGCAATTAAACCATAACATGTTAATGTCTTGAGTCGAGGAAGGGTTGTTGCAATTAAAAATAAGTAACATTGAACTTTGAAATTAATGCATAAATATAATTAATTGTTAATTTTTATTTGAATACTTTGGATATTAACCTTCCTCTTATGTTATATATATATATGTATGTATAAATATACATACACATTTTTGGAAGAATATACATATGTATATTTTAATATTTTTATACATATGGTGATAACATTATAGGGCAGAGTATATAGATTGAGTGACGTGGCAGTTAAGGGGTCTCAAATCAGTTACCTAATTGTGTTTTATGATTTAAGTTGCTTGAGAGTTGAGCCTGTAAAACACCTCTAACTCAGTTAAAAAACTGTGGTCTGGGTGTGGTTGCTATCTGAGACAACTAGAAGGGGATTGGTGCTATAAAAAAATGTGGATTGATTGGATTTGCCATCGTTTTCAATGAACCTGTGGCTCACATAAGGATGCATTACTGTCGCTTTTTTGATCTTGACCCTCTGATTGATGTGGATATTCCTTTGATGTCTCAGTCTCACCTTCTGTCATAATTTCCCCCCACCCTGTCCTTTTTGTTATTTTGTCATAACAAAATAAGATTAACTCAAGCAATGATCCTATGCTCTTCACAATTATACATTCGTCTGGAAGCAAGTGGGACTTATTTTTGCTTTGTTTGAAGGGAAGTTTGCAATTAGGAATAGTATAGCTTTGGTTAATGTTTCATTCTTAACCTTGTGAAATTCTTAGTATTTGAAAATTGAATTCAAATTTTGGGACAAGTAGTATCCTATTGTATAACCAACAGCATATACACCGAAAACAAATAGAAGGTTTACTTTGAAACCTTTGAATTAATGCTTTATAGATAAATAATAGTAAGTGTAACTTTTTATAAGCTTTAGCTTGTTACACAGTCTAAAACCAGCCCACAAAAAGCAATATAAAACCTAACGTACGTGCTATAACAATCTTTTATAGGTATTGATGGTCCAACCATATAAAGCAGATGTACCAAATTCGGCTTGAAGTTTGAGCATAAACTGTTAAAAAAACTTGAAGATTGTCATGGGGTTGGTTTGTCCTCCAACTTGACCTAATCCTGCTCCAGTTGCGGCTTTAAACATATAAAAATGGTAAACTGAGATGATGCTTTATTGGCGGTGCAAAACTTGTTATAATTTGTACATGAGAAACATCCTTTTTTTTTTCAGGTGTGAGCGGATTGTAAACTTTTGTTAAGTAGGAATTGACAATGTTTAATTTCTTGGTACGTTGAGCATTCCGTGATAGTTTTCGAATCTCTAAACTCATTCCTTCAGATGATTTAGTTGATTTCATCTGAGATGATATTAATGATTTAGTAAGACCTAAGACTTGCATTGATTAAAAAAAGTTTAAAGTGTAGTTAATTTAAACATAAAAATATATCTCTCTATTACAAGTCGTAACTGGTATTTTCGGCTTAAGTTTGATGGTAGCTAGTATTCTGTAAAATTTAGAAGGACTTTTAGCTTCTTTCCCAAAAGTAATGGTATTCTATTCAGCAGATTTTATGCTTTTAGAGAACAAAGAGTTATTCTTTAGAGAAAGAGATAGAAAATCCTAACCCTTTACTTGGCCAGGTTGGCTTACCTTCTAGTGAAAAAGGTTGACGAACTTAATATAAAAAACGCCCACCTTTTAAAGGAGCATAGTAAAATTAAATTTATAAACTTTTAGGTCTATATATATATAATTATTGGTATTGCTTTGAAGCATAGCTAGGTTATTTCTACCCTTCGATTTATGCTATGTATGGGTGAATTTGTGCTTTTACCATTTCCGTTTGCAAATTAAAGTAATGTTTTATTATTATTTTTATATATCATATTATAGGGATTATGAGTTACATAAGGAGGAGATATAAAAAATTTTCTATCTAAAAAATTTAAATTATCCCATCCATTTTAAGATTGGAATTTTAAACTTTTTTATATGATATTCTTATGTTTTTTAATCATATATAGTAGCTAAATATAGCTATAGTTATACTATAATACTTTGTTTGAAAGTTAAAACCCTAACTTAGCCTGGTGATTGGATATTGAGGAATTATATTTTTAATTATTTTCATAGTCGGTGTTTTTTCTTTTTTTCTCATTACAGGGGTTTAGGTTTTTAGTAGTATTTTTTTTAACATTTAGTGACGTTTATAAACATCAATAAAAGATTTATGACGTTTGCGAAAAATGTCACTCAGAGTACCGAT